ATCACTGGTCATTCACACTTAACTTATAGTAGGAGCTAAGCGATACTCTCTGTCATGCTCACCATTACTTAATATCAAGAGAACAAGGGGGTGGGGAAAAGATAAGGAAAGATTTGTTCTTTTTACAACAGGCTTCATTGAACTGAATGTGAAATAACTGGTCTGTGTCTGTAGGACTCCTTACAACTTTAAAGTTAATAGCTTACAGAAAAGAAAAAGGAGTTGCATAGCTAAATCTGGCAGAAGTTTGTTCTTTTTTTCTTAAGAAAATGAGAGTGAATGCAGGTTTCAGTTATTTTTTTACATCTATTTCTACATAAATTAGCAATGAAGAGGATCTAAGGCCATCTTAATATCCAAGTACTTGGTTTGCAAACTATGTTGTAGTATTATAGTTTAATGTATATCCGTGTTTATACAAAATATTGTTTTACTATCATTCAAATATTTTCAAATGTTTTCCAAAAATTCTGTTCTGTGAAATATATTATCTTTCAAAAACTTTTATATATTTGAGAAGGAAAAAAAAAAGCAATTTCACCTAAATTCTGTACTTGTTTTGCTTCTGAGCGGAAAAATAAGCATGATAAATCTAAATGCTAAACGTAAAATAGCCACAGAGTAACCAGTCTGCTGCTGAGAAGGCTTTTTTTGTCCTCAGCAGATCTGTTTCCGGCATAAACCACAATGATTTACAACTTAGGTAGAAGGCAGACCGTACAGACTTGTTTATTTGGAAAAAAAAACTTTTCAAAATTCTACATTTTTGTTTCTTGGTAAATAAGTTCTATGTATTCTGCCTATTTTGTATACTGTTGACACTGACAGTATATTCATGTTTATCATGCGTTGGGCAGACATGAACGAACTGAGCTTCACAACGCTCTTGTGAAGTTAGTACTGCCTTTGTTTTGCAAAGGGACAATTTGCAGTGGAGGATTTTTGTTTGTTTCTTTCTTTTAAGAAGGAAAAAAGTGTAATATACTACTACTTTGAATTCATGCTGTCTGCAGAAGGGATATCACAGGTGAGTTAGCTCTGGAGAATCCAACCAGGAGAAAAGAAATAAGCATGTGTCACCATTTTTTTCAGTTTGGGATTGGGCTAGATTCCTCTTGTCCCACAAAGTATTCAGACTGGAAGGAAGGATTACCACTAACACTGGAATACAATTCTTGAAGGGCGCCCATGCAACATCCTACTTGCACCATGTAAACTTTTATCTGTCCATCTCCCCTTGTTTATAGATTATAGTTAGGAAAGCCAGGAAATAGTTTTATCCTCTGTTGCTTTTGGTTCATTAGTGTTACAAGCTGGGGGAGAGTCCTACTGTGGTCATACTGGGAGCTTGAGACATACTTTGCAGAGAACACAGACCACACCTGCCCTTCCCCATGACAAAATGTTTGAAAGGTCTCACTAGCCTGAACACTGGAGGAGAATGCAGGAGAATGGCCTTCTTACACTGTGGATGAGTTGAGCATCTTGTGTTGATTGTGTGGTTTGTGTTATGGGAGAGATGCAGAAACTGACACATGAGTCAGACGATGGTGTGGCACCTGTGGTATGTGTTGAAGAAAAAAAGCAGAGCACAGTGTTGATTATGACAGAAGTTTTCTCACTTGTTTCTGTGGTGAGGAGTATATGTGTAGTATAGTGTAGCTTAGCAGACGAGCAGATAATGCAGCATTTGATACCATGGGTGTTTGAGGGGTGTTTGAGGGTAAACATGCCAGAACCACTATATATATATTACCTATATGAATGTGAGCAAAGGTTCCGCTAACCCTCTGTCCTGTCTTTGACAGCAGCCCATAGCAGATGTACTGATAATTTCTCGGTGTGTTTTCTCCCACCTTCCAGGGATCTGCAGTTCAGGGACTTTCTGAGCTACTGGTTTCACTGCTGCAGATTTCTTGGCCGTACTGGACTGGTGGACCACCTTGACTTCATATAGACCTTTGATCTTTTTTTTTGAAAGTGTCCAGCTAAACGTGGCCTGATTTCTATGTGGAGACTTCAGGTAGTCTTGAAGTACAAACAACAATCCACTGGCATCCCAATAATGTTCTCTTTGCATGAAATTGAATATATGGGGTAGAATTTGCTTTGATATTGTGCGTAGGGAAGACACAAAGGATCCAGGATTGTGCTTGCTAGATGTATGTCTGAGGAATGCATACAAATAAGTAAGTTCTCAGGCCAGACTTCTTTATTGGGATTCTGCTGAAAATAGTCCAAGCTATTTGTTTTTTGCCAGAGATTTGAACTAATTGGTGCAGCTCTAAAAGGGAGGGAGACAAGCAGCCAAGAGAGGGAAGAGAAGGGAGGTTGGGTGGTCTAAACAGACAGAGACAAGATCTGTGATAGATATGCTCTGTTGACATAGTTTCTTACAGCCTTACTCTGGCTGAGTGTCTGGCTGAGATTTTCACACTGACCTTACCTTATTCTGGGTGTGAGTCCTTGCTGGACTAGAAACACGAGTTCGTGCTCAAAGCAGTGAATTATCTTAAGGAAGTTTTCTTTTCTATTTGTCCCCCTTTAGTGCCTACTGTACTGTTAGTCTATTTTTCACTTGTTCACTTAACCCTGCCCCTGTAGTTCTTTCCTTGAAGTGACATGAAATGATTACAATGGCATTACTTCATAACAGCAAATTTTGAGAGACTGCCTTTAGTGGTACAGGTCAGTTGAGAACCAAGTAAAACTCATCTTGGTCATGAGCTGCACAGGTGTGTGGCAAGGTAAGACAGATGCTGTACCAGCATAACTCTGGCTGACCTTGAAGCAGCTCTTTCCTAAAGATTAAGATTAAGCAGTAGTCACTTCATGCTTTCAGGTCTGTTAGGTAAGTTTGGAGCAACCTGATTGAAATCTTAATGTGAGAAGCTGAGATGAGTTGTGCAATTGCGGTACATCCTACTACTTAAAGGCTCATGGGTTCTCTTTTGAAGTGTTGTATTTTTAAACTCTTTTATTTCTAAAGCATTCACATTTGCAGATTGTGTTCTAAAACAAAGGTCAGGATATTGTCTAGCACGGGGTCAAAGTCCCCAGGGTAAACCAGTGCACTGTGTTTCCATTTTAACATATTGTAGAAATTACATGCCTGCAATAAATGTTGCAGCAACAGAATCAAGATCATAGATGGCAGAAGTGTGAAAAGAAAAAAAAAATTGCCTCTACCCTGGTACGGAAACAAAGAGTTTATTCACACCTCAGCACTGCTTTTGGTAGAAAGGACATCTCAGCCTGTCTGCACAGCCTGTTGCTTTGGTTTGGACTCTTTTTTTCTTAATGACTTGTA